TTATTGTCCTTGATGCTCAAAGCTAGCTGGAGTTCAGTTGCAGCCTTGGCTTTCCTGGTCTGCTCTCTACAGGACCGGACCAGTGCAGAATAATCCTCCTTGGAGGTGACTCCCATCCTCCACCCTTTGTAGGCCTTTCTTTTTAGCCTCAGGAGATCTGCTAGGTCCCTGGAGAGCCAGGGGGGCTGCTGTGCCCTCTTGCTGCCTTTCCTCCGAGATGGAATAGACTTAGTTTGTGCATTGAGGATCGCTCCCTTGAGGAGCAACCACTCCTCTTGAACTCCCCTTTCCCTGTGGTCACGGTCCCTTAGGGCCTCACTGACAAGCCTCCTGAGCTTGACAGTTGGCTTTCCTGAAGTCAGGAAAACGAGTTTGCCTCTCGTTGGCCCATAAACTTCTTGAGTCAGGTAGAGGTCATCCACGCACGAGAGGAAGCTCTGCAGCCGCTCAGATTTTGCTGAGCGATCCTCCCACGAGATGTCTGGGTAATTGAAGTCACCCATGACAACCATGGTCCTGGAGCAAGCTGCCTCAGCAGCTTGCACTACTAGAGATGCACTACTGCTGGAGTACTATAAAAGAGCATTATACCTCACAAAGATGGATGAGCATTTTGGAGGGTGGCTGCCCTCCTCAAGCCCAGTCTGCTACTCTGAATTTTTAAAAGAAATTATAAGTGGAGGGAGAAGGTAGCAACACGGAGGAAAAATGCAACAGAATGGTTGCTTGCAGCAGAGAGATGCAGCAGTTCATAGGAGGAGTGGGGGTAATGGACAGGTTGTAGCTAGACTTCATCTGAAAGAGGACTCTTCCCCCTCACAGCAAAGATGCAGTGTGCCTCAGGGAGTAAGAATGAAACTGCCGGCTCCTAGGACCAGCCAAGCCAAGAGAGAGCAAGAACTCCCTTCCCCTGCCATGAGTTACCCCAGGAGCCCTTCCCTTCTAGACTTTTGGGGGGGGAAAGGTACCAATGCAGGCTATCCTGTCACAGTACTGAAGAGCATTTGCAGACAGCTGCCTGATTTCCAAGTGGCCCCAAAACAGTTAGCATCCTTGCTCGCTGGCCTACTCAGGTTTGTTTGCTTTTCCTTCACAGAAACCCAGATCTGAGCTGGTGAGGACTTCCCTACGCCTGCTGACATCTAGTGCCTACAGACTCCAGTCGGAATGCAAAAAAACCCTTCCTGTGGAGCCCTGCCCTACCACGGACATCCAGCTGGTCACTCAGCAAGTTATTCAGTGTGCATATGACATTGCTAAGGCTGCTAAGCAACTGGTTACCATCACAACCAAAGAGAACAACAACTGAGGCCGGTTGGGTTTTTTAGTCTTGCTTTTATAAAGGTTGGATTTAAAATTTAGACATGTAACTATTCAGATTTTTACAAGAAAATTAAGGGGGGCAAGAAACTTTTTTTAAAAGCTCAGTATTATTTTTGCATGTTTTCTAACAGAATTTTCACTGATTAATTTAACCCACTGCCTTATTTTTGTGCCTGTGTTGCCAGTTTAGTTATAGATTATAGTATGTTGCATATAGCTGTCAAGCCAATATAACAAACCAATGTTGTATCACAAGTTCTTATAGGAGATTCCTGGTGGCCATATTCTGCTTTCAGATATTGCGCGCACAACTTCCATCAAAGTCAAATGCACATATCAGAGGGCAGAATCTCACCTTCGCTCTGTACATCCTGGAGCTTGGTCTGCAGGGGAAATCCCATGGAATAGCTTGCTCTGTTTCATAGTAGCTAGGGTCAGGAGGGACCTGAACAGATCATCTAGCCTGACCCCCTGCCACAGGCAGGAATGGATGCTGGGGTCCCAAGACCCCAGGCCGGGGATCGGCCGGACCACTTCCCTGGGAAGCTGGTTCCAGGTTTTGGCCACCCTAACTGTAAAATATTGCCTTCTGATCTCTAACCTAAACCTATTCTCCATCAGCTTATGACCATTGTTCCTCGTCACCCCAGGTGGTGCTGGGGAGAAAAGGGCTCTGCCTATTTGCTGTTGATCTTCCCTGATGAGCTTGTAGGCAGCCACCAGGTCCCCCCTCAGCCTCCTCTTGCTGAGGCTGAACAGGTTCAGGTCCCTCAGTCTCTCCTCGTAGGGCCTGTCCTGCTGCCCTCTCACCAAGCAGGTGGCCCTCCTCTGAACCCTCTCCAGGCTGCCCACATCCCTTTTGAAGTGCAGCGCCCAGTACTGGATGCAGTTAGTAGAGCAGTGGACTATGAAGGCGCCAGGAATGTAACTGTTGGACAGTAGAATGAAATTTTATAGTCTTCCTGATAATGGAATACAAAGGTTATATTACCTGTTCCCATATGAACTGTCGTGCAATAATATTTTTCCTTAGTTTGATAAAACTATAGTTGTGGGCATCCAAGCTTATATTAAATGGTAACTATACAAGGTCTTTGTCACTTTATCTATTTTGGAAGGAAGCATGAAATGTAGTAGTTATTTCTTTCTTTTAGTTGTCACTATACCATTAGTTTTTACATTTGATGTTACTTTTAGAAAGGGCATTAGTGGTTAAAACATGCCGTTATTTTTATCTCTGATATAAGTGACTCATTCTGAAATTTCCCACAGAACGTATTCTCGCTCAGTATCGTCTTCAAGCAATATCTTGTTTGCAGCAGTATTTTTTTAATCTTTTAGAGGTGTCATTTCACTAAAGAGTTGTGATTCTTTTTTTTTAATGGAAGATGAGAAAGGCTACTTCTAAGGTAGTCTGGCAGTACACCACATCTGCATTGAAATGTGTACTGAGAAGACACCTCATGAAAGTTTCCCAAACTCTGTGGACAGTATCAGGAAGGGCCACACCCCACCATATGCTAATCCAACCACTTTAACGTGTGCGCCATTAAAATTCTAGTACTTTTTTCACTCTCAAATTTTTACCTTTGGTCTTTAAAAATGTGAAGTCCCTGTTTCCAAAGGCGGCAGGTACTTTTGGAGCGCATTGAAAATCCATGGCAGGTAGGCTGCTAAGTCACCTTTGGAAAATAGGAGTTTAGGTTCCTGTGTTAGGCTACCTGAAAATGTCCTCTCCATGCTCCTCCCCCATCTTGACAAAATTGACCTCTTTTTGGTAGTCTCTCAAAGCACTTTTCTATTTAATGCGAATCTATGAAAAAGAGATTAAGGCTTCACGTTTGGACTAAAAAACCGTATTCAGTTTATGTGTAAACCATTTTTACATACAAGTCTGTCCTAAAATATCCCCCCGAGATGCAAACGTCCTTCTGTGCTTCAACTCGGATGGAATTTCCAGACACCTGTGCAATACTAATGTCTGCAGTAGGGCTCTGCATTTCAGTGAGGATGAAATCTGGTCTTTGCTAACAATCTCGTGAAGTTGAGAGACTGAATTTGCTTTTCCTTGCTTCCCTGGAGCTAGACAGACGGGTAGGGCTGAGAAGAAAAAGGAGCTAGCTTTATTTTTAGTACTGAAGTAACATGGACTCTGAATGCCAAGAGGGAGCAGATTATGTTATAGTTAGCTGCTCTTCAAACCAGGATCACAGTTAATATAGGTATTTTCCTCACACCGTGTTAGAACACGAGAGTGAGATTTTTATAAAAGTCCTACATATTTTTTTATATTTTAATATGTATAAAAACACGGGGAAACTTGTGAACTGCAAAGGCATGGATTTTCCCACCTGGCTGATCAGCTTACCTTGTTAAAAAGTAATGGGACAATGCAGTTTCCTTTGAACGCCCCCAAAACTGTCGGACCACACACTTTTGTCGTACATTGTCCAGTCAGTTACTGCTTAAGCATTGTAATGTAATGGGTATTACTGGTCAAGAGTCATCCTCTAATGGTTTGTCCAGATAAATACATGCTGAATCTGGTCTTCACAGAAATGTTTGGTTTGGAAATGCCGGATTGTAGGAGGCTGTCTGCTGTTCTGTAAACAGATCTGCAGTATTGTTTGCTACATCACTTGGGGCTTTTTGGTGAAAATTTTACTTTGTTCAGGTTAACAAACAAATTAGCCCTTCAGATTCCTTCCTTATAAAATTATCATGTGTTTATATGTATATATAAACACTGACTAAGTGCCATAATGTTGGATGCTGATGTTATGTTGTAATTGCCTTTTTAAAGTATAGTACTATTTCGGGGTGAGAAGGAAAAACAAGTAGGATAATCCTATTGCAGTTTCACCCTCACCATACATGGTTGTATTTTTGCCTTCCCCTCTCCTGTACCATAGGACTGTTTCTGGGACACAGAAAGGCATATAGACAGACTGAGATTAGTGCTGAAAGCAGATATTTATAAAAAGTATTCTTCAAATGAAACCACTTATGTGTAAGGTATTGTATGAAATGAGAAAATGTCCTTCAAGAACCTCCTCTGAACCAGCCTAAAAGAAATGTGCAGCGTGACATTTGTTCGTGGCCATTGGAGCATTGCTACATGTGGTTTTTACATATCCTACGTGGGAAGTCGAGCAGTGTAACAACACTTCCTGAAGTAGATCATTAGGATATGGATTGTTCAAAGTTTTGCTCTGTGCCAAAATGTAAAAAAAAGCCTTTAAATCGTATGAATGATGGCACATCCTCCCTCGGCATTGCTAGTGGTAGGATTTACAAACATCTAGTTCATCAGCCTCTTGGTGTGATGAAGTTCCACAAGTCTAACTCAAGTGTATCCCACTTCATATGCTAGAGCCGGATTCTTTTATTAAATGTCAAACACCAGTTTTATGGTCCTGTTGGTGAATTGCACCTTCTCTAAACAGTCCTCTCTCCCTTCTGCATTGTCAGGGTAGCAGCACGTCACTGCACTGAAGTGGTGTACTTTTGGTACAATGTCTGCAGCATTTATAGTACAGTATTTCTCTTCAAGAAACCAATAGGACAGGTGCACTTTATGGAAATGGCACTTTGAGCAAAAGCCGACTCCACTTCGCCAAACCCTTTAGCTCAAGGATGTGTTCATGATCTACTCCACCCATTGTTGGGTTTGCCAAAGAGTAGTAAATTGGGCCCAAAGCTAGTGTAACTGTTAATGCCCCCTAGTCAGGAGGAGTTACAGAAGCTAGAATAGTAGTTGTGCAAAAAAGTTTATTCCTGTGGCTAGATTCCCACTTTCCAAAAAACAAAAAGCAGAAACTGTGTATTTCCTCCCCCAGTGCTCTTATTGAAGTATAACCCTCTCTCTCCAAATGCTGCATAGGAAAGTCAAAATGCCTTTTTATGGACTTGTATTTATCAGTGTCATTCTGTCTGTACTGTACTCATGACTTAGCCTTTAATGTTTAATGTATAACTATAAAATTATTGTACAAGCTTTTAAGTGTGGTAAAGTCGTTTGGGAATATCTGCCTGCTAATTATGCAGTAAACAGACTCTTGCAGTGCTTCCTCAGAACAAATCAGCCAGTTGGAAAGTATACATAAGAAAGGTTACTAACAAGTGCTGAAGTTGGTAACCAATATGCTGAGAAACTGCAAGCAACTGGGAGTTTGCTAGTACAATGCCACTGGCAGACACTTCTAGTGCAGATCTGGCCTCCATCTGATGTCTGAATTCATCTAAGGGTACTACAGTAGCTGCTGCTTCGCTACGGTTGGTTAAGCTGCCTTTGCACTCTCATGCTTCAGCATAAGACTAAACATGCAGTATAAGCTTTCGCAAATTGATGTGATGTTTGCCTCATGGAAAGTCCCTGGACTTCCACATGCCAACCTACGCTGCCACTGGTCAGAAACTGAAGAAGCCATGGGATCTTGGCTTGAATTAAGGTGGTTTTTTTTAAATTAATACTAATAGAGGGGAAGTCTCTACTAGAATACTACAGGATTCGTCTAGTAATGGGTGTATGTAACTAGAGTCTTTTAAATGCTAGGTAGCCTGTTCTGTTAGATGTCTCAAACTGCCTGCATCAAGTTAAAATGGTAGAACTTTTTATTTAAAAGTTTTAGCTTAATACATTACCTGCCACAACAGTAGCATTTACATAAAAGACTAAGGGTTAACTGCTGTTTTAAATGAAGCCAGACACCCTTCTCAGCTGCATAAAGAGTACAGTTTAGGGGACAGTAGCTCTTGACTGTTTTCTTGTTTAAATTATTAATGGAGGGCAATGTTAGATTTTCGAGGCAGAGAATGAAATGCTGGTGTTGGTTTCATTTGGGATCAATCCAGCTCATCTGCACTATGCTAGGAATGCTTGCTGTCTACTTGAGAGAAGAGGATGTACAGGCTAAATTGGAGCACTTCAAGTTATTTCCCTACCATATATTGGGTAAGAACTTCTGCCACATCAGGGAAATTAGTTTATTAGTTTTAATAATTATATCCATTGTTCCTTCATTATCAGGTGAACACCATGGTGCGAAGAGAGAGTTCAATTAACCAGTATGCTGATCTACAGTCTTGACGTTAATTCTACACCAGCCATAACATGCCTAAGAAAAAATAAGCCTCTTATGGGAGAATCTAGAGTTTTCCTAATAAGTATGCTGTTTGTCCAAGTAGGAGGCAAATTGATTTAATCTAACCATTTGGCAAGAACTACAACAGCATTCCAGAAACACAAGAACTGTAGTTTAAAGTTACTAGTGACAGTTCACCATCACCACTCAAAGTGGGCAGCAAGCACACCTACTGCAGCAACTGCTCTTCCAAAACCAAGTTAGACACGCAAACTGCAAGTTAAGTGAACAGTAGACATTCAAGACACTAGTTAAAAAGAAACAAAAAAACATTTATTGAAATTTTAAAAAAAAATAAGTGAGATGGTATATCAGTTCTTACATGCACTTATGGCACTACTCTTATTTACAATGCGTGAAGCAGCCACTGACGAGAAATAGCTGTGATTCTAGATGCACATTATTTCCCTGGAATGCAGAGAATCTGATTCTTAAACTTTCAGCTGTACACAAGAACAGGCACTGGATCCATATCATCGCCTCAGCTGTCCTGCATTTGTCAAGTACTCTCACTCTTTTATAAAGCCAATGTGTGGTTTTGTTTCCATAACTGTTCCCATCTGAACTGCAGTTGGGGGCTACACTGTGTAATTTCGTGGCTCCTACTGAAGTACCTAGAATGTTTCAGAAGCATTGGCACACTTAGGATAGCGTTTTCAATGCATGCTCTACCAGCCTAACCCTTCTGCCAGTGAAAATGGACCTTGTCTTCAATGGGGCAGAGTTTGGTCAAAGCCAAGTACTTGAAAACTCCACCCTTCAGTCATTCTGAACACAGCCCAACACCACTGTGTACTAACCCAACCATTTCAGTACAGAAGTCTCTTGATTCTTGGTCTACAAATGATTCCACAAAACAGAACAAAAACAAAGCCCAACAACAAAACCTGATGTCCTTTAACAGACAAACAGCCTGTTCCAAGTCTGTCAGATGCTCACACCAGCAGAGCAGCTGGTCAGGTCCATGCTGTTTTCGGACGAGCATAGGGCTGGAAGAAAAATAAGAAAGGAAGTGACAGGCACTCATATCCCAAATTAAAGGCCTAAGAATGATACTCAGTGCCAGCCCCTTTAACTGATGGTGGACTGGAGGTTTGTAAAGAAAACTGTTCTCTAAGGGAGAAGAGAGAATCCCTCAGGAAAGGTCACTGTCCTAGCTCTTTTTGGAGAAGTAAGATCCAAGAGCCAGGGAAGCAGCAGTGCTGAGGGTTAAGGGTGAAGTCACTCTATGCCACAGACTATGGAGTTGGAAGACACCTGTAATGGAATGGGTGTTACGTGGCTCTGGGCACATAAGAAATGTTCTTTTCAGAAAGAGTAAGTCAAAGCCATCTCTTTGGCTTCCATAATGCTAACGTGGTACCCATGCTGCTCGAGCCTTGGACAGCACTGACATGCAGAGCTGCAGCTTTCTGGAGCACTGCATCACCCAAGCCTTGGGCCCCTTAACTAGAATGTGTGGAGGAGCTCTAAAGAACTGATTTAAGATGCAGAGAAGGAGACCAGGCTGTAAGACTGAGCTTTCCCTTTTGATAATCCAAGAGAGCTGCATTACAAGTAGCACGTGGAGAGAGCAAGTGTAAGAAACGCTGATCCCCATGAAAAGTGGTTCTGGCTCTTCCCGGGAGCTGTGCTTAGACAATTACCAGTGCCAAGCTATTACTCTCAGCAGCAAGTTGACCTCTGCCATTGCCCACTGGGAACCCAGCTGGGGAGGGAAGGGTGTTCTATGCCAGGCATGCTTGCTCAGACACAGTTCCTCCTTACCCTGTGGCGATACCCTTGCTCCATCATGCGCTTGGCCTCCTGCTGCACCAACTCCTCGTGGCGCTGCTCTGCCAGCCTCTCTTCCTCCTCCTCTGCTCTCTGACGCTCCAGCTCTTCCTGCTCTTGGAGGCGACGCTCTGTGAGCTGAGCATTGTGAGAACACGGGCTGTTAGAGCGCAGTCCCGAGCAGGCACACGCCAGCCAGAGAAGCCGCACTGGCACTTCCAGGCAATGCTTTACAGGGGTCAGCACTGCTTCTGTGGAGCGTGCTGCAGCAGACACTGACTGTCCTTCAGGCCAGGCCCGGCCCGGAGCAGAGGTGCCTGCCTCAGTCAGACTGATCTTAGTTAATCGCATGCTTTGCTGAGGCGATTTCCTCTGCGAGTGCCTGCTGCATTTACTTGGGCTTTAGGACAGCCTCTAACAGCAAACCTCTGGAAAATGTTAGTAGAAAGTGACAGACACCCTGTCCTGACACCCAGGTGGATCACTAATGAGGCCCCTTGCCATATGTTTTCTAGATAGCAGTAAAGCAAGCCTAGCTAGCTATCAGCATCCTAAAAGCCTGGCGCACACATTGAGAAAGGCTGGGCTCTACCTGAGCCTCTAGCTCCTGCTTGCGAGCCGTCTTCAGTTCCTCCTCTTCCTCCCTCTCTCGACGAGTCAGCTCCTTTGCCTCCTCCAGCTCTCTGATCAGCTCTTCCCGCTGTTTTACAGATTCCTCTTGGGCACGTCTGTTGAACTCCATCTTCTCTTGGATCTGGTGCTGTCTGCCTGCAAGGACCTGGGTGGGTGGAGTGAGAAACGGGGAAGGCAAGAAACATGGTAAAGAAGTGGAAACAAACCTCAGTGCAGAGAGTCAAGCCCATTCTCCAGCACCCCCTGAGCCAAGAGAAAGAAAAGCTCATCCCTAGCACTAGGGCAAATCAGCAGGCCTGACAGAGCCTGAGGCAGAAAGCCAGTGCTTCAGACAAGAGAGCAACCTTGTTAGACAAGGCATCACCTCGTTCATCAGTCGATCTCTGGCCTTCCTTTCTTTTTCCCATTCTTCCTCTCTCCTTTCCCACACTTGTTTGGCTTCTTCCCTGAGGGGGGCAGAGAGAGCGTGCAAGCAATCCAGCATTGTTGCTTATGATGTAAAACCAACAAAGTCCATGGGAAAAGACAAGCCTCCCCATGCCCTGGCATGCAGGCAACCCCAAGACTGCCAACTGCTGCAACCTAGCACCAGAGCGCAGAGCACCCACGTCGTCTCCACTTGTTTCAAAGTGCCTTTTGATTTCAACATTAGCTCTGGCTCCTCAGCTCCTTGATACAAAAACCACCACACCTGCATTTTGTGAAGGCTACAACCTCTCTGGTTCACTCACCCACACAGAGCGGCATGCCTGTCCTATGCATTATGTTCAGAGATCTCCTGCCTCACACAGGGCGGGGGCTCGGGGCTCTGCTGAAAAGATCTGGAGTCTGTAATGCTGCTTCTGCACAACTGTGTTTAGCAAGAAAACCCCCTCCCAGCCTGACCCTGGGCAGGAGGAATCATGCAGCCAAAGGAAGAGGAGTTACTGGCTTCACTGGCCTTGCTCACCCAGTGTTCTCCCTGAGCCAAGCTGTGCCCCCCAGTTACACTCCATAAAGCCTTGTTGAGGTCAGTAAGGTGACAGCAGACTCCCCTTAGTCCTCAATCTCTCCTTAGACAGAGAAAGGGAGAGCGCGCATTGTAAGAAGTCACTTAGGTCACAAAGCTCATTGGCTGCTGATCTGGGATTGTTCAAGAGCCTCTATCACTAGAGCTGGGTGAACACCACGACACTGTCCAGGTGAGACGTGGCCCACCTCCCTACACAGTTGCAGACCAATTACTGTGAAAAACAGGTGCTCACTTTGCACTTATTACCAGAGCTAAAAGTACACACACAAATGACAGAATCTGGTCACAAGCCTGTTGAAAAGCAACCAGCTGGTCTTGGTGCCTTTCAGTTAAAAGAGCTCCATGTCTTTGGACCCTAATGTCTGTGTCTGCATCCTGACTGAATGGAAAAGGAAACAGAAAAGCCATTTCTTGTATTACACTGAAAAAACTCAATAGCTTCTTTTAAAACTAAATCGAACCAGACAGTAATGCAGTTAAGAGCAGACTTCCTCTACCTCCCCTTCCTCACCTACATTAATGTTTCTGGAGATTTTCCAACCAGGGTGACCGACTGTAAAGGAAATATTCAGCCCATTTCAACCTGCAGGAGGTGCACTGCACTCACCTAAAAATGGTCTGCAGGTGTGCCTCTCGTTCCCTCTCTAACTGGAGCTGCTCCTCAATGACACGTTTCATCCATGCCGCATCTGCGATAGCTCGCTCCCGTCTGGCAGACTGGAGGCGCTGGTCCTCATCTTCCTTCTCAAGGAGGGCTAGAAGTATTTGTCTGTCCATCTCCTAGAGACGAGCCAGAAGAACACATGCACAACAAGTTGTCAAGCCAGCATACAAGTAGATTCACTACACGGCACAAACTGCCAGTGTCCCAGCGTCAAGACTGATCACAGATGGGACACTTGCAACATCACATTCTCGCCACTGCTCTGATCTGCTGGTCTTCCAGCTCTGCCACCAGGAGATGGACAGAGCTTGCCGAAATGCTGGACACACATGAGAGATGCAAACCAAGCAAGTAACGAACATGCAGAAGGAAGAGGGCTTTTCAGCACACTCAGGACACGGTGGATGTAACAGATATGAGGTAAGAAAGGTCTTCTCTTACCAGTTCCTCTTGTATCTGCTGTGCACGTTGTTTTAATTTGGCATTATACACAAGTCTCAAAAAGCGACTGGGGGGAAAAAGAAAAAAAAAAAAAGAAAAAAGATACAGCAATCTCAACGCCCCATGTTTTTATTCAGTAACCTTCAAGGATGGGATTGGTGACCAGGGTGCTACCACCTACCAGCGTTTGACAGGACAGAAGGGGATACAGTCCATGCTGCTTTCATACAGCATTTGGGTTTTTTCTATATTTAAACTGCTTGCCTTCCCTTTGCATTTACAGCCGGCAGCAGCACCGATGACTCCCCACACAGAGCAAGTGCCGCCTCAGATACAAACCGTGCCCGTGTCGGAGCCCCCTGGCACTACACTGTATCACATCATACCCGAGCTCCAGCTTCTTCCTGCACGCCTCCATTTGTTTCCTTTCTTCCTCTAGCTCTTCTAGCTCCCATTTCTGCTTCAGTAAATTCTCCTGCTCTTTCTTCAGTTTAGTTGCCTGTTTATGAAAGAAACAGCACCTCAGAGTGATTAGGAAAGGGGAATCCATCAAAGGTGCTTGCCACCGTGAAAGAGCAACCGCACTGGCTGAATCAGGATCTGCTACAGAAGACTGGCCAATTCCCTGTACTGCAGCACTTGAGACGGAAACAAAACCCGTTTCTTGGGATCCCCTTGAGGAAGCAAGGGAGTGAAACCCAGTGACTCACCTCACTGCGAGCCGCCTTCTCAGGTATTGCCAAATTCCAGCTTTCCACAATTAAAGCAGCACCTCAGAAGGAAGCCTTTGTACCAGCATGTTTTACTGCCAGCAGCAAGATGGGCGCCAGGAATCTCCTCCCAGTTAATGTCCTAGGGCCTACATTAATTTCACCCACACCTTGCCATGCTCTATAGACTATTGGAGATCTAATTAGGAGCTCTGGCTGGAAAAAGCCTGAAGGCTGCCGCACCTAGCCAGGTGCCTAAAACCAGCCTCCTTTCTCGGATGCGAGAGCCAAGAACAGGGTGCCCAGGTATTTCAGGAGGAACAAACAAAAGCCCATCACTGAATCTCACAGCCAGCGCACCCAGAGAGAAGGGAAGACAAGAGGGATGAGTGTGCAACCTGACCTCTTCCCTTCTAGGATTCCTGAGTTGGAACCGACTCTTCTCCTTCTTCTGGGCTTAAAGATTAGAGTCGCGCACGGCTTCAGACCAGGGGAAGCTGAACAGTTACCTCCATCTCCTGCAGCTTCAGTTCTTCCATTTGCTGCAACAACATCTCCGCTCGCTGCTTCTCTTCCAGCCGCCTCTTTTCTTCCTCCCGTTTCATTCGTTCCAGCGCTTCCCTTCGGGCGCGCTCATATTCATTTTCAAAACGCTTTTCTTCTTCTCTTTCAGTTGCCTCTTGCTGATTGAACACAACGCATTTAAAGAAATAACTCTGCTGTAATCCAAGGCCAAGTCACGCGTACTTTAGCTAATGACGTTTTATATAAAATCTATTAAGAGACTGGTGTATCAGGCTTTTAATACAAAAAAAATGCCTGGTTTTACTGACTTCAGTCAGATTTGTAGTGGTTTAAAATTAGTATCAAAACATCACCTACTTCAAAGATCAAAAATATTTTGCTAAAATAGAGCCATGTTATCTTAGACCAACACGGCTACAACCCAAACCCCTGCAGCCATGTTATCTGAAATTCTTCATTATTTGCACTTTCGCAGCCAATATATAGTCAGCTGCCAGGAATGCTTTGCAGCTTACTCTGAAGAATATCTCCACAATTGTTAAGGCTTTAATCTTTATGGTACCCGATGTCTCGTATCTCCTCGGCTCGACATGAGGGAACAAATTCTCAGAGCCGTGCATTCGTAGTCGTCTGTTGCAATTAGCCGTCTCGGACGGATGCCTTAGTGCCACGCAGAACCATCCAATACGTTAGTTTTAATACACCGTATCGCTAACTTTATGTTGCAAACAAACCACAACGTAAATTTGATGTATGGTTTGTTTTTGGGGGGCGTTTTTTGACAGAGAACTGCTCGTTTGAAATGTCCTGAAGAACGATTCTGGTCATCTCGTGGCCGTGGCAAGGTTGTAAATGTATTTGGGACGTAATGAAACACCCTCATTTCCTTGGCAAGTGGGGATAAGCCAGAATATCCGGGATGTGTTTTGAACCGACAAACCTACCTCCCACGCGCGCATGCAAATCCTTACAGGAAAGCAAGAGGCCCCGTGAGGAAATCAGTGAAAACGAGCAGTCCCAGAAACATAAAAATCACGTCTGCTCCAACGTCTCAAATCATTAAGTGAGGCAGGATCCTGACGAGGCGGAGAAGTCGCACCGTACCTGCCGCTGGTGCTTCAGCTGGTCGCCCCAGGCGTCTATCACGAGCTTCTTGTGCAGCTCCGACTCGACCTGCGGCAGGGAGCGCACGGGGCGCCGCGAAAGAAAGAAGAAAGGAAAACCCGCGGTTA